GTGATTTAAATGGAGCTTTTCTTGTTTTCGTAGTCAGATTTACTGTACTTACAAAGAAGCTCTGTGAAAGTCCGACCCTTATGCCTGTGTTGTGGTGTACGTTGAAGTTTGGGTTGGATAGGTCTGTGTGCATTTTATTTTAGTGGTAATTGATAGAACTTTACATATCCAGTAAGGCAATGACACAAAGACTGGAGTTCAAGAAAGGTTCTGTGAGCTTGTCTTAAGACCATGAATCTTCACTTTTTGCATTCTGAGCTAGTAGCTTGGTGAGGACAGGCTTGGCAGCTGAGCATTTAATAATGAAATCTAATTTGAGACATTGCAATAGTGGAATCATGGCTGGCACGGTCTGGTGTGGTTTGGGGTTTTTAAGATTATAGAATGCTGCTGCGCTCAGTAATTTGTATTTACAAAACAAAAATGACTTGTCAGCTACTATTCAACCAGGCTACCTCCTTAAAAAGTAAAAACAACTAAGAACAACTTTAATAAAAATTTTCTGTTTAGTGTCAGTAGAGGAAGATCTCATTAGAGCCTTTGATTAATATGATTCAGCTGTCTGGAAGAAAACCCTGATACGGCAAAGGTTAGTATAGCACAGGATAAACAACACATTAAATATCATTATTGTGCCTTAGGACATACATGTACAGTGTGAACAGTAGTGTTTGTTGATCTAGTTTATTATTAAGTGTTTAAAAGCAGTATTTTGATGAGACCAAAGGCGAGAAAAAATGAAAGATTTTTCAGATTGTGGGTTGAGAGAATCTACAACAAAGTCCCTGGTTGGGAGTTCTATTTCTGGTTAAAGATAAACTGTATTGTTAAGTGTTTTACTTTGGTGCAGCCAGAATTAACAGCTGATGTAATCGTCTAGGCTAGCAGGTTTGTTACAGTAGCAACAAGCTTAATAAATTCTGCTGGACAGGCCAAATCTGTTTCTGCATTTTTTAGAAATTGTGTGGTGCAAATTAAACAAGCCATATGCACATCTATTTTCTTTACTCTGCCTCTTACAGTATATAATCAGTGTTTCCTTTCTGGTAATAGTAATGAATTACGAAACCTTAGGCACTGCAGTGTTTGAATTATTTCTAGGATTGTATTTTCTGCTTTGCCAACATACTGTATGGGCATGCAGATCTCATAAATGAAGGAAGTCTGAAAATCAGTATTCCATGTTTGTTTTATGAGATTATGTCTTTTTAAAAAATTTCTGCCTTTTCCCATTTCAGTATTCTCTGTCAGGCTGTTTGGTTGCCTGTTTTTGGTGCTTAAAATGCTGTGAATATTGAAAAGCAGTCAAACGGTGTGTGAGGACATGCTCCCAGGCACAAGTAAGATGTTGTACAGTTGTAAGAAAATAAACAGAAAGAAACAAAACTTTAAATTTCTTCTCAAAGTAAGATTAAAGTTATAAGAAGTGCAACATTTATTTATAGGCATTTACTGTATTTTTCTTCTAAGTACAGCTTTTTTATGTGGCTATACAGCACATAATTAAACATACTGTAGGTGTGTCAGACTGGTATTTTTAGAGTATAAATCATTGCTGGTTTTTAAGTATTAAATTCTTTAAACCACACAGGTTCCACCAGTAACAAGATTTAAGACTCATTTCTAAAGCTAAAGAAAAAAATAATGAAACAAATTAAATTTTAAATTTTATGCATCATTTATCGTTTTCTTATTTGAAAAAGAGACATTAAAAAGGGGATTTGTTTCTCTGAGTAACTGGGAGAGTGCATAATGAAAAGACTGTATAGACAGTGTGTTGTTCTCTCTTCGTAATGGCAAAACAGAACCCTAGTGTTCCCTATATTATCTTTATGCCTGCAAATTCCTTTTTGAATGAAGGCCACTTTTGACATGACTTTGGTTTGTACCAAGGAAGGCATCCTGAAAATTGCTGAAAGAATGTCGTGTAGGCCTGCTTGCATTGCTGCATTTAGAACAAAAGTATGGTTGCAAGTGTTTTAGGAAGTGTCCTGTGATCATTTGCACAATAACACTTAAGTACATTTCCCCATTAAGTGTTTGCTTAAGAGTTGAAGGGTGTTTAGCAGAGCAGCTGAGCACATGTATTCAATATCCTTGTTAAGGGAAAGTGTACCTATGCTCGATACTAAAAGTATTTAAAGGGTTTTATACAACTGGCGCCTGGCTTTTTGTTGTTGTGGGTTTTGTTGTGTTTGCCTTTTATTTTCTCTGAATTAATTCCACATGGCTCCAAATGCACAGCTTGATGCTACATTGGGCATCAGTGACAAGGCTGGGGTCCTGCCGTGAGCTTGTTGTGTATAGGGAAAATCACACTAGAGGGCTGTAGTAATGCAGATGCCCCAGATGTCAGGGAGGTCACTGGATGAGAGATAACAGCAAGGTTTTAAAAATTCACATGGGAACCTTTAATCAGCCTAGAGAGAAACAGAGGGTAATGCTTTGACATTTCATAGGAAAGTACAACAGAGCTTTCTTGCAGCTCACGTAGAAGGTGAGAGTCAAATGGAAAGAGAATGCACTGGCATCTGGAATCAGATGAAAGGCTAAACTCCTTAACTCATGATGTGCTGAAGGATGTGTGTTCTGTTTCTGCATGACCATAACCTCAGTTCAGTTGAGTTGTCATATGCACAAGTGCAATGAAATGCTCAAACAAGAAACAAAGAAGCCTGTTCGCATGATGTTTCATATTCTGTCATGTTTTGCAAACTATAAAATCCTTCAGATGACAAAGAGACGTAAAAATCCCTAAAAGGGAAACTTTCAAATACAATGTACAATAATACAATAGATTTCCGATACATAGAGTAAAAAGCAGTGTGCCTTCCCAGTCCAAAAGGTGAGGTATGGAGATATTCCAGACCCAATTTCTAAATCTTTAAGCTTAAGCTAAAAAAAGAATTGTATGTTGCAACATTCACTTACAAAAAATACCTCCATAAATCACAGGATTGCACATCACAAAACAGGAAATAGTCTTCAGCCCAATCACGGTATTCCTCAGGCACCCATGCTGAGCTTTTGTGATGTGCAATTCTGTGACTTGAGTCTATATCCAAAAATAGTGTGACTTTTCTCTTCATTTCAGTTCTAACACATTGGTGAGAGTGTGGTGGTATGGAGACTCTCTTAAAGTAAAACCTCAAAGACTTAATTTAATTTTATGACTAACTGGGGTGATGAAATTCCTATATCTGGAGGTCATGTTGGTTTATTTACAAGAAATTAGTATGTTGCAATTTCTTAATTTGAGCATAATTGTATACATGTTGATAGACATAGAATAATCATTGGTACTAGAAAAGAAATATTTGTTTTTTTTTTCTAAATGATATTGTAAGATCTAGGGGATTTTTTGGCATTTACACAATCATATGAAGTCAAGTGCAAAAATATTTGTCTTGCTTTGTAAAAATAAACAGAAATTAGGTCTTGTTCTTATAACATAAGTAAAGGTAATTCAATCATTACTTTTTTTGAAGTTTTATTTTTTGTGTTAATACATCTACTGCTTTTTCCATTTTTATTTCAGGTCATATTTGTAGAATCATGTTTTAAATTCTGGAACAGAACTTTATTTTAAGAATTATTTGTGAACTTGGGGCCTATTTTTCCAACGTGAGCAAAAAATTCACTAATCAGTAATAGTATACCTAAATACTGAATTCAGTGATTATGAAACTATTTACTAAGATCATGAAAATCAGAAATGACTGAAAATCACTAATATGCTTAAATGTACTGTAGAAATTCTCATACAGTTTAAAAACATTAAGTGTGAAATCTTGTAAAACGTCCAATAAATGCTTCAACCTGTTGTTGACTGTGTTACCAACTTTGGAAGATCTGGCCCAATCCTAACTGGAGCCACACTATAGCATAAATACAAGTACATCAGGAATATGGTTAATTGTCAGCTATTATGACAAATCAGATTCCTTCTTCAGCACCTTCTGTCATCTATACTCTGTTCCAGACCATTTGCTTGTCATCAAATTGAAAAGGTCTCTTCTTTCTTATTTCATGAGGCATTTCTGATCAGTCATGTAGGTTAATCTCAATCCCTGCTGAAGAATTCGTACGTGTTTTGAGTACGCATGTCTGTGCATTCTTTAGGCTAATGTACTGCTACCCACGAGTTTCAAGAGTAATTTCTAAAATGATTTTTAAGTCTTAAAATACTCTGTAGTTAACAAAATAATTCAAATTTCCTTGAAGTACAAAAAGATTATTTTACTAGGTGCCGGATGAAATATGAGATTTCCAGCTCAAGATCAGATTTTACACTTGAAAGCACCTGTTTTTTTTTCTCAGAGATGTTTATAAGATGGCAAACTGCAATAACTACAAAAACAGTAGGCTCCATAAATTGTGGTAATTCAGGGTGTCCAGTAAATTCAGTGACAGTGATTTTATATATTAGTTGATTAGTGGTAAGCCATAGTTGTAGCTTTTTTTTTCAGGATTTACATTACTGTCTAGCAGATGTCTGTGAGGTTTCGTAAATCCCCTTTTTGTAGCTCATGACTGAATTTATACAGTATGTTATCATACACTGCACTCCAATTATATAAAAATCATGTCTTTGGGCTTATTTGTGAGATATTTTTAAAGTTTTCAAAAGTGGCCAAGGGCCTAATTTTCAAACCTTATTTTCTGTTCAAGAACAATAAAAGGAAACACCTGCAACAGAATAAGTTGCAGAGCAATAATGCTGAAACTAGAAGAGCAAGTGTTGTGCGAACATTGGTGAAACTTCACACGAATGAAACATTTTTTATAACCATTCAAGGCTTTGATGCATACAGTAAATAGCAGTTCTGTTACTAGATTTTAAGACGTTCTTAATAAATAACTCTTCAGATGAATAGAAACTTGCTTTCAGTGTCTAAGCTAATTCATTCTGCATTGTTTGTCTTAACCTGGGCGAGAATAAGAAAAATCAGTAATACAGTAGGCCTTTCGCTAACACTGTCTGCTTTTCTTTCTGACAGAACCTGATGGCGAAAGCCTTGTATGACAACATACCGGAGTCCCCAGAGGAGCTGGAATTCCGCAAGGGGGACGTCCTGACAGTCATCGAGCAGAACACTGGAGGGCTGGAGGGATGGTGGCTGTGCTCACTCTACGGACGACAAGGCATCGCGCCAGGCAACCGCTTGAAGCTTCTCATCGGACCCCTGTTTGATGGCCAGTCCCCCAGCCAGCAGCCCCAGATCCAGACCCCCATGTCCCAGGCATACCAGCAGCCTGGCTACTCAACGACGCCCAGTCAAAGTCCTGCCTTAATGGATTCTCTGTACCAAGTGCCCCCCTCTCATCAGAACCAACAGGGCATCTACCAGGTGCCCCCCAGCTATGCTGCCCAGCCTCAAGATGTGTACCAAGTGCCTCCCTCAGTACAGAGAGGCCTGAGGGCTGCAGAGGGGCCCTGTAAGGTCAGTGGGCCTTAGTTTCATTTCCATGTTTGCAGCCTAGTGAGAGTCAAGTCACCAGGCCAAGCAGTGAACTCCTGCAGTGGCTTGTGAGGGTGTGTTGAGGCAAAGCTTTTGATTACTTGTAAATGAAAGGCCACTGCTGGCCTTTCATATTCCCACATTTGTCAGTCAGGCCTTGCTCTGTAACACAACCTTTACCTTTTTAGCTACTTAATGATGACAAAGTGTAGCTCTATAACACAAAAAGGAAGCTGGAATCGAAATACAGTATGCACCATTTTTGTTCCGCCCTTTAAAATGTAAACTGAATGGTTTATTACATTGGCTTTCTCAGTAAACTGTTAGTGATGAACTGCTGGAGAATCAATAAGTGAAACACAATTCTGTATGAATTAACATTTGGCCTGGAGCCATGAGGTCTGTTGGGATCTTTTTATTTTAACTTTTGGGTAGCACGAAATTGCAATTAAGAAGATCTTAATTATGCTTTGAGTAAAAAAAAAAAAATTTGAGTAAAACATTATGCTTTGAGTAAAATGGGAATTGGTAATAAAACAATGGAACTTGAAAGAATTGATAATGGTACTAACTTGAAGGAATTCGTTAGATGCCACCACATTTTACAGGAATGACAAGCAAACTAGCAATTAATGAGCATACTGAACATTGCTTGCATGAATTTTCCTGAATGAGCGGAACTAATTATTGTTTTTGGAGATATCGCTCTGAGACATAGGAGTGCTTTCAACGGGAAGTAAACTTTGCAAAAAAATCACTTAATTATCTGTGCATGTTTTTATAGTAAATAAGAATTAGTCCTACAGTGCACCAGAGCTTTTGGATTGGTGTGATTACACCATGCACAGTATCATGAAAAAGCTTTATTAAAAGTAAAACATACAAATGCATTGAATCAGAATGACATTTTGGCTTATGCTTTATATTTGACTGAAGAAATGCAGTGGATTGACCTGTTGCATAGGGCATATGATATCATATCTGATTCCCATCACATGACCATTTCAGAGCCATGTCTGGTTGTAGTGTCTCATATTAAACAGTCATAAACGTACTTCTGATAGTATGGCACATCTAGTTCTCAAAGGACCAGCTGTTTAACTTCATATGATGTCTGTAGGACTTAATTGAACTAATAATTAAAAATACAGGGTGTTGCTAACATCTGAAATTGGTCCCTTGTAAACATAGCAGTTTACTGTAGCTGTCTCTACATCACCCTCTGACATTTTATATAAAATATTCCTACTTTTTCATTGTGTTCCCCTTTTATGTGCAGAAGAGTGCATTTTAAAGTGTTAGATGTAGTTCTGAATCAATAATTTGTTAAATACCAATTCACCTAAAAAAAGCTATGAAGAGTGAAAGAAAAACTATATTTTGTGTAATCCAAAAAAACTTTATTGATACTGTATATTTTCAGAGCCCTGATACTAAGTCTTAATTGTTTCAGCCAATAAGGGTAGTGGTCTTGGAGAAGAGATTGAAACAGTTCAGGTATGGACAGAATTCACAATTTTTGGGGTAGTTAAAACAATCCCAATTTCATTTTCTCAAAAACCTGTACTTTTTACAACTAAAATAATTCCTGGGACAGACATCTGCAAAACTACATTGGTTTGGTTTGTCTGCATAGCCGTGAATGCCACACAGTGTGGAAAAAATAAATGCTCCAGATCTACTCCAGTTTTCTCTTTACATGTAACTTATCCCCACTAGTTTACTGGAGGTTATTTTCTACTGGGGAAGTTTATCTTTTCCCCAGTAAATCATCTATATTACCTGTAACCAAAAACACATAAGCAAGTATAAACTAAAATATTATCATGATTAAGCATGCCTTACTTTTACTTGGAAGTCATTAGTAATTGCTGAGTAAAAGGTTTGTGACTCACAGTTAATCACTATAATCTAGCAATGGCACACCGTAATCATTTTATTAAAAAACAATTTAATTGGAGAATAGCTAGACTGTGTTTTGTGTATAGAGTAACTCAGTGTTTTAGGACAGCTGACTTCAGAAAGCTGCAGGTAAAACTGTATCTCCTTCTGAAGCAAATGCTCATGAATTGGGTTTTTCAGACTGTCTCCTCCATGCAAGAGAATGTTAAATGCTCTGAATAATATAAAAACACATTTGTGCTACACTGTCTACATGCCCAGTTAGCTTTCTGTTGGGATTTATAAGCTTCCAGGGACCAGGAATAGGACAGAACAGGAAATGCTTGGCTGAAAGGTACAGCAACTGAAATTTTCCATTCAATTTTTGTTGGCAAAAAGGTCAGACGGTTTCTGTTTCAGAAACTCCACCTTTTTCCCTTTTACGGTAAGGTTTTATGATCTGAGGATTTCTTTGCGTTTGATAACAATAAAACAAGAACCTAAGAAAAAAGTTTGAGTTGCATAAGGTCCTGAAAAGGGAGTAGAATGAGAAAAAAACTCAGCAATATGCCAGTGAGCTTTGCTCCAGAAATCCACTGGTTGTCTAGCTTGCTCTGTGACTGTAAATCAAAGATCCAAGGTTTCACTAAAATCCTGGCACGTATTCTCTACCTTTCAGACAGGGGCGGATTGTGATGGACTGTCTACTGAAATGCTTCATGAAAGTTTATGTTAGTAGAGGAGTGTGGTAAATACAAGGCCATTTTTTAGATCTCCAGAAGTGTCTGCAGATTTTGTTTTGTCTATTCTGCAATAGACAGAACTTCTCTTTTCTCTTCATTACATAAATTTCATTCATTCGTTTCATCAGACCAATTGAAATCAAGCCTTAATGCAAAATTAATAATTACTTTTACTGAAATGATTTAGTCTAATATAAGGATATTTAAGTAGTAGGATTTAAAACCCCATGTTAATCACAGAAACATTTAAAAGTGCTTGATTGACTTTCCTTTATTAACTTAGATACAAGTAAAGGTTTGGTCTTGATGTTTTATAGGTTCTGGCAGTCTGTCCCTTCCTGACTTACTGGAAGGTCCTCCTTATAGTCCCTCATTATGAAGTCTCTCATTTGAAAATAAAAGTAAAAACATATGTAAACCATGAAAGCCATGAATCTTAAAAAAACTAAACAATAACCCTTGTCTTATTTCATTTCATCATTGTTCTAGGCATGGGATGGCTACAGTACAGTATATCCGCCACATAAGGGATTTGAGATTACCAGAACATGTTCCTTTATCTTCTGATGGCCGGCAGGTTTTAAAAAGTTTGGCATCCTGGTTTACAAATACACAAGGCAAATGACTGGAAGCAGCTGTCAACCAGTGCAGGCCAGATGCTGAAATACTTTATTAGTTACGAATGGGAGTTGCGTTGTTAAAGATAATCAGAGTGCTTATCTAGTAGGAAGTGACTTCACTGTGTCAACCTTCAGTAGTACTGCTGTGTGAATGCTGCCAGACCATGGAGGGGACATGAGTAAAGGTTCTAGAGAGGTGAGGCATAGTTACAGAAAAAATGGGATATAGACTAGGCTGAGTGATAATGTTTCCTAGAATCACTCAGCCTAATTACTAGAACCTATTCCTGTTCTAGTAATTAGATGCTTAAGGCCTGGGGAGATCAATCAATTTGGTCAATGTATTCAAATAGTGAGTGTGACTCCTCAATAATCAGCTCCAGTGCAACAAATCATAGAGAACCAGTATGAGGATTTATTATTATTATAAAGTTAATGTGTCTTGCTTTTCTGGTTTTGTTTCTTTGCTAATGTGCCCCATTTCTAGTGGGGAAAAATACCTGGATATTAAAGGGGACAGTTATAGATTTGTGCAAACAGAAAATAAGATGTTCATGCTCGTCAGAGATGAGGAGCACTTACAACAACGAGCCAGTAGAGTAAACTGCTTGGACGAATGGCTAATTTTTAGGTGTGAGACTCCAGTCAATACCTTAAAAACACCCAACATGAGTAAGCGTGTGAGGAAACGAACTAATGAATATCCAAGTCAATATTACAGTTTTGAATCAGCATCCAAATATAAACAAAAATGTGTTATTTGCAACACAGCTAATGGAAATACTGTAGCTGTCATGTCTTTTTTCCTTGCCCTGGGAACATGCACTGTTAAAAGTCTGACTAATAAAGAGGATGAAAGCACAAAAATAATTAACACTTAATCTTTTAAATTTAATCTTAAATCTGTTGTAATGCTGATTTAAGATTAGTTTCGACTGCAGGTAAACTAGGCAATACGTTTGGTTGGGGACCGCAAACCCTATCGCTGTTGAGACTTGTAGCGTGTCTGTTTTTCAGACAGAGGGCACTTTTATTATCCTGCATTAAGGCGGGTAAATAAATGATCTCACCTCCCCACCCACAGCCAAACTGAGTTTGTAGAGCAACCGCTGTTTTATAGGTGAAAAGTTTAATTCCACCACTGTGGCAGCAATCCAAACACAGAGATCCTATGCTTTCAGTCCCTGGCAGGCAATAAGTCAAGGGCCTGTGAAGAAGGGGAATTTTGAAAGGACTTTTTTAAGGGGGCTTTACAGTAAATGAATCAGGGTGAAAAACTGTGACTTTCAATGTAGAACGTACTTTTCTATTTGAATATGTATATATAAAACATAAAACCTGTGGCCTACTTCACTATGAAACACTTTTATCAAATTCAGCTGTGCCATAAATGTGTTACTGCGCTCAGTGCAGGACTTCTATTAAAGAATTTCAGATGTTTGTGGAGCTGTCTTATCTTATACACATTCAATACATTATTTATTACATATATATATATTAAGATGTTGTCTTTGTGAACACGTTTTTCATTTATTCCACAGTTCCTTGATCCATGGTCTTGTTTTTTGCTTTCAAAAAGATACTAAGGTCCAGGCTGGATAAATTATTCAGGGTTGAAAGTTCATACTCCAAATTATCTTTCTTCTCCTCAACACTTTAAGAGTTCAAATCTTCTACTTACTTATGACAGGGTAAATGCCCTGTAGTAACAAAAAGATGAATTCGATCGCAGGGTATT